CGGACAACATAGTTGCAGAGGAAATTCTCTGGTTTCGCACAGTACTATCACCACGAGCACTACAAGAGACATCACATGTGACCACTCATCGAGTTGCTGGATCCTGAATGTACTTGATTAGTGATCGTGATCATTATTAAGGGGAGAAAAAATGATTTTTATACGTCAATACCGAAGACTAATCAGAGTTACTTTTAATGTCCCTCCTGTTTGCTGCCTTGGTTGTGAAAGATGCATAAATGTCTGTGGTTTTAATAAGCAGGACGCAACAGAAAACGAGACATTCCCTCTCTAAAGAGCGGCATATATTCACACTGAACATCCCTGCCCTTACCACATAAAAAAGAACATAAGGAAAAAGCTAAATGAAAAACACGCTGTAATTACTGTATACTCTTGTCTGAATAATCTCATCTCACTGTCATTGTCGCTATATATACATGTTGCACTCAAGATCGTAAAGGTCATGAAATGTAAATGGATTTGATTCGTGTTTACACGGCCTGGATAATGAAGCACGGTTGTTTTCAGTATATTCTCTATAGACTCACCAGCAAGAAAACCTACGGAGGCTGTTAGAAGAAGCCAGACAGCTCTGGTTCCCTGCCTCTGTGTAATCAGACAGTGAGACAGTGCCAGATGTGTTGTGATTTGTGCCATTGCTTATTCTCACACATATCAACGATCAAGTTTTTTGTTGTTTTTTTGCACTTTTGCTCTTTTTCTTTTGTTCCTGTCTGTTTGGCCTCGCTTAGGAACTGCAAACACTCACTTGAAATTATTTAATGAACAATTGTATGAATTGTATGTGAGGAGATCAGTATGCAGTTGCTTTGCACATATGTTCTGCACTTTTGAGCCATAAATATTTCAGTTTCCTTCTTTTGATCGAATACTTGCTTTTTTACAGGCTTGTAAAAAAAAGTGTCATTTTACAGTGCAGTTTTAGAATTAATTTGTATGAATTTTGTTCACCGTAGTGTTCTTCAGAAGTGACGTACAGTAGTTCTGTTGTACTTTCACAAGAAATATGAATTTTTGCAGTTCTTGAAAATGCCAACACAACAAGTATAGTAATCAAACAAGAGTGTACTGTTATGAAAATGTTTGTTTCAATTCCACCAACTGTTTTAGCACAAGTGTATGTCATGGACGCTCATGAAGTAAAGATTTTTTTATGATAAATTAAATGTTTGCTGTTCACTTAAATGCCTCCAACTACAATGTCTTCTTGATATTACGTCAACATGCACACTAAATCATGACAGAAAAAAAAAAAAGATTCTGGAAGGCATTTAATCAAATGATCACTTTTATCAGAATAGACCGTTGCTGTATTTTGTATCACTGTCCTGCCTGTTGGCTGAATGTTGGGGAATCTATGGACAGTTTTTGTTGTTGCAACAATTTGAATAAAGGAGAAAGGTGTGAAGTATAATGTACATAATATGACCTTTTTTGAGCACAATTTAAACTAAACTGTAACAATTCATGAAAAAGATAAATGAAAAGGTAATGGAAAAACAACAATAAACGTGCAAAAAAAAAATTATTATGTATAAATATGACAACTTGGACTGACCTGACATCTATGAGCAACATCATTATCCTAAAATCAACATTTAGCCTTTCAGTTCTCTGGTCTGAATGTAAGCTAATGTGGTTTTTGTGTTCACCCAAAAAGCTATATAAAAATATAATGTTAATGTGCCCGGATGGAATTTCTCCCTATATTGTTGTGTTGTTGTGTGTGAATTGACTCCAGCTTGGCTTCCTATATTTCAACAATCTTTGGATTCAGGCATTGTTCCCAGTTTGTGGAAAAGAACATTGATTATACCTGTTCCTAAGATACCTAGGCCTTTAGAGAATAATGATTTTAGACCGGTTGCATTAACATCTGTGATTATGAAATGTTTTGAAAAGTGTGTTGTATCTATGTTGAAAGCAGAGGTTGCTAGTAATCTAGATCCCTTACAGTTTGCCTATAGACAAGGGAGAGGAACTGAAGATGCTATTAACAGCATTATGCACTTGATTTTGAAGCATTTAGAAGATCCTAAAGCTTATGCTCGGTTACTGTTTGTTGATTTTAGCTCTGCTTTTAACACGATTCATCCGCATTTGTTAATTGATCAAATGAAGCAGCTGAGTGTAAACCCATGTATTATTAAGTGGTACTATTCTTTTTTAATAGATAGAATTCAATGTGTAAAGGTAAATAATCTTCTTTCATATCAAAAGAGTAGTAGTACAGGTGTTCCACAAGGCTGCGTCAGTTCACCTATTCTTTTTACACTTTTTACAAATGAATGCTTAAGTAGGCATTCACAAAATTTTATTTTTAAATATTCAGATGACACAGCCATACTAAGTCTGCTCCATGTGCATGACAATATTAGCACCATTTACCAGTCAGAGATAAGTCAGTTTGTTGACTGGTGTGATAAAAATGAGCTAATAATAAACACAAAGAAAACGAAAGAGATTGTATTTGATCCAAAATGTATAGGTGACCATCGCCAAGTGGTTATACATGATCATAATATTATTCAGTCACAGACCTATAAGTACTTGGGTGTTTATATAGATAGTTCACTTATATGGAAAACACACATTGAATGGGTTTGCACTCGACTACAACAGAGATTGTATTTCTTACGTAGGTTACGTCTCTATGGAGTAAACAAGAATCTTATGCTGCTGTTTTATAAAGTATTGTTAGGTATGGTATCACAGTGTGGTTTGGTAACCTATCAGTACAGTTTAAATCTAAGTTGATGCACCTGTTATTGACAGCATGGAGAATTGTTGGGCATGATGAACATTTTAACCTTCAAGTTTTATATGAGGAATGTGTTCTTAATCAGGTAGAGAGGATTCTTGGTGATCAAACTCATTTCTTGTATTTACAATATGAACTACTTCCCTCAGGTAGAAGATATAGAATCCCAATGTGTAAGTTAAATCGATATAAGAATTCCTTTGTACCTGTATCGGTGCGGTTGTACAACAAGAGTTCATCTTGATTTTATTTTCATGATTTTATTTAATTTAGTTTTTATATGTTTATTGTATGTCTGCAGCAACATGTAGTCCATAACAATTGTCCTCTTGAGGACAATAAAGTATACTACTACTACTACTACTGGACATTGAAACCAATACAAACTAGCACCAATATGAATTACCTTTGTATAATTAAAAACATGGAACTAAAAAAAAAAAGTTCTTTAATTTGTTCTCGGATCAGCATTCATAAACATTTGACATGGGATTTTTATATATTTATTTAATTTCCGACGGCACTGGAACATATTAAGCATCCATTCGCGGCTTATAAAATCATGTAATCATAAATGCTATATATAAAATAAGACTCAGTTACACTTTTTGTCCAATGGGTGTCACTATGAACATTTAAAATGCAATGAAAGGACGTACCTATGTTATTGTGCAACAGAACACAGAGGAAGTGTGTTTTATGAAGTCGCAGATTTAAGGGGCTTTACTGTTTTCTAAGGTGAGTAAAATCGATGTGCTACTCTATTTGACACTCTAGGATGAACTTGGTTTCGGTTGTTTGTGTCTGTCGTCGTTTTTTATGTATGTTTCTTAACAAAGGAATAACTTTTAAGACTTACGTCACCTCTGTTGGCTACTGCTTGCAGTTAACGCAAATAACTCACTGGACACGTAAAAATATTAAGCTATAATAACCTGTCGTTTAATACCTTATTTGGTCGTCATGTTCACCTGTAAACCACGCCTACTTCCGGATCATGCGTCGTCTGGTGAAAATAAATGCAAACCAACAGCATCAGTGTGTATTAAAGGGGTCATATGATGCGATTTAAATTTTTCCGTTCTCTTTGGAGTGTTACAAGCTCTTGGTGCATAAAGAAGATCTGTAAAGTTGAAAAGACTAAAGTCTCAAATCCAAAGAGATATTCTTTATAAAAGTTAAGAGTCAGCCACACCTACCTAAAATGACTTGTTCTAACACGCCCCCACATATCTATGTCGCTCTGTGGGAAGATTTGCATAACGCCGCCCAAATGTTCACACAAAGAAAGAAGGCGTAACTTTTATTCTTGCTGTAGTTTTGTTGTTGCCGCCGCCATGTTGTAAAGACGCTGTGTGCTTCGTTGTGAAAGCGAAACTACTTTGTTTGGTCTTCCAAAAGAGGACGATATCTGCTTCGTCATGCCTGGAGCTGATCCGTGCTGGTTGCTGAGGAAATACTACAACTTTGCTCTGTGGATCGCCGGATCGGCTTTCACCGTGGAAGAAGCGGAGTCCAGCCCGGAGTCGTCACATGTGGTTGCTGCAAGCCGCCGGCAAAGTAACTCCGATATTTTCTTGTAAATTAAAAAAGTAATGCGTTAGTTTACTAGTTACTTGAAAAAAAGTAATCTGATTACGTAACTCGCATTACTTGTAATGAGTTACCCCCAACACTGGATCACAACAGGTCATTTAAAAGTCTGAGATTTTTTTAGGTTTTTAATGTTTTGTTTTGTTTTTAATGAAGTCTTTTATGCTCACCAAGGCTGCAATTATTTTACAGTAAAAGCTGTAATATTGTGAAATTTTATTATATTGTATTTGAAATACTTGCATTCTATGTTAATATATTTTAAAATGTAATTTATTTCTGTGATGGTAAAGCTGAATTTTCAGCATCATTACTCCAGTCTTCAGTTTCTCATGATTCTTCAGAAATCATTCTAATATGCTGATTTGCTAATGTTTCTTGAGCAGCAAATCAGCATAGCATGCGACAATCATGTGTCAATGTTGAAAACAGTTGTTCTGCTGAATTATTTTTTACTTTTTTGTCAGGATTCTTTGAATAGAAAGCTCAAAAGAAGCATCCTTGTTAAATAGAAGTGTCAATAAAAAAATGTATTGACTAAACTTTTGAATGGTATCGTAGGTATTTGCCTGAATCACTGTGACTGCAAATTGATCGATTTTCCTTTCATTGCTCAGGATCTATGATGGAAGGCTCCCAATATTAATGGTTACTGACCTGGAAATGATCAAAGCAATTATGGTGAAAGAATGTTATTCTACCTTCACTAACAGAAGGGTAAGCTCACCTTCAAAGTTGGACAGAAAGTGTGATAATGGCAGGAAGCTGAGGATTTCTTTATGCTCCAGTAAACATAATCATTTTGTAATTTGTACAGGAAACAAATGCAGGCCTTGCTGGCCCCTTTGCTGATGGAATAACTGTAGTTAAAGATGAAAGATGGAAGAGAATCCGGAGTTCACTCTCTCCATATTTCACAAGTGGTCGACTGAAGGAGGTACAGTAAAGGCCCTTAAAATGATAGTACACCCAAACATAAAAATTCTGTTATCTCTGATGTTGTTCAAAATAAATGAATGACTTTTTTTATTCTCTGTATGAAAAAATAAGATATTGTGAAGTTGTTACACAGATTTGAAACAAACTTAGAGCTGTGAACTGTCCCTTTAATATGAGCTGTTTCAGATATTGGCGTCTAGTCTCTCAGTATTCTCTACTTCTATATAAAAACTTGTATGTAATATTTAGGTTTATGTTATTTTATGCTCTGCTTGTTGTTCTCTGACACTTATGTAACTAACTCTTATTTCTAAATATGTTTCAGATATTTCCCATAGCTGTGACGCATGCAGATCGTTTTATTAAAAATATGCAAAAGAGAGACCACGAGCAGCCAGTTAAAGTAAAAGAGTATGTGTGACATCTGTCCTTAAACAAAACATAAAGAACATTGCTGAAGTATTTACTGCAGTCGATTTCTATGTATAAAACCACATAAAATTAATTGAATTTATTAATGAAGGTCTGTGATTATTGTAGATGACATTGGCTTTGTTAGAAAGTCATGATATGTAAATTATCACTATATAATATATCAAAGTAGAAACAAACACTATTATTATTCCAGAGTTGTGGCTCCATACAGTTTGGATGTGGTCACCAGCTCCTCTTTCAGTGTTGATATCGACTCCATAAACAATGCAGATGATCCTTTCGTTACCAATGTCAAGAAGTTTTTCAAGTTCAGTCTGTTCAGTCCTCTCATTCTGATTTTAAGTATGTCATTTTTATAATTAAAATAAATTATTTGTTTTGATTTGTTTGTTTTGAGATCTGATTTTATTTGATTTTTTTCAGCTTTATTTCCTTCCGTTGCAAATCTTTTGGGGAAAATGGGTATAAGTCTTTTTTCAAGGTCGTCTGTGGACTTTTTCTACAATGTCCTGAGAAAGATTAAGGACGAGCACAACAAGGAATCAAATGTATGTTTTCCACTATTTCTTACTTTAGCTACAGCTCCAGATTTTGCAGAGATGTTGATACTGCCGTAGCTTATGACTTTTTTTGTTTTTAATTAGGGTCGGGTGGACTTTCTCAAACTCATGATCCAGAATCAAATACCTGATGAAAAGTTTGAAGACACAAGTGACCAACCAGTAAAAGGTTTGAGAGACTGTACAGAATTTACACAATAGACTCTTTCATTTCAAATGTGACTATGGTGTTTTTATGAATTTAATAGGACTAACAGACCATGAGATTCTCTCCCAGTCCTTCGTTTTCATTCTCGGAGGTTATGAGACGACAAGCACCACTCTCACTTACCTCCTCTATAATCTTGCAACTAATCCAGACTGCCTGGAAAAGCTGGTTGTGGAGATTGACACAAACTTCCCTTCTGATGTGAGCAAACTGGCTTCTGCTCTGTTCATAGTTTTTGTGTAGAAAATCTATTTTAAAGGAATAGTTCACCCAAAAATCAGGCAATTAAAGATATACTGTAGATGAGTTTGTTGCTTCATCAGAACAGATTTGGAGAAATTTAGCATAACATCACTTGGTCACTAATGGATCCTCTGCAGTGAATGGGTGCCGTCAGAATGAGAGTCCAAACAGCTGATTAAAACATCGCAATAATCCACTAGTAATCCACATAACTCCAGTCCATCAATTAATGTCTTGTGAAGTGAAAAGCCACATTATTAAGAAACACATCCACCATTAAGGCATTTCGACTTTAAATCATTACTTCTGGTCAAAATACAAGGCCTGAATCCATAATAAAAGACTTCCTCCAGTGAAGAAGTCCATCCCCTGTTGTATTCTCACATCAAAATCCAACAAACATATTTGTTATTATTAGAACAGATTTTGACTGTTTTCTCTTATAAATGGTGAAAAGCTGCGTGTTTGTAATAAACAAGTTTTAACCAAACTCTTGCTTCCAGCTAAAATACAAGTCCTCTAACAATAATATTGTTTTCTCCAGTAAAAAGGTGTCTCATCTGAATCAGAAGAGAGTTATGCACAGATCAAGCACCATTTATAAGATAAAACAGTCCAAAACTGTTCTAAACAAATATGTTGGTTGGATTTTGATGTGAGAGGACAACAGAGGATGAACTTTTTCACTGGAGGAAACGTTATTATGGATTCAGGCCTTGTATTTTGACCAGAAGCAATGATTTTAAGTTTAAATGCCTTAATGTTGGATGTGTTTCTTAATAACATGGCTTTTCACTTCACAAGATGTTAATTGATGGGCTGGAGTCGTGTGAATTATTGTGATGTTTTAATCAGCTGTTTGGACTCTCATTGGTGAGCAACTGATGTAATGCTAAATTTATCCAAATCTGTTCTCATGAAGAAACAAAATCATCTACATCTTGGATGGCCTCAGTAAAGTTTAATTTTTGGGCAAACTATTCCTTTAAGGCAGTTTTAAAGTTTAGTGTTCAGTTGCTTTACTTAAGGAACAGCAAGTAGGTTTAAAATAAAGCCATAATATATGTATGCAACATGTCTTGTTTTTTGATTCTCCAGACTCCCATCACATATGATGCATTGATGAAAATGGATTACTTGGAAATGGCCATCAACGAATCAATGCGTCTCCTTCCCACTGCACCACGCTTAGAGAGGGTCTGTAAGAAAACTGTGGAGCTCAATGGGGTGACCATACCAAAGGACACTCTGGTTGGAATTCCTACATATGTATTGTGTCATGATCCGCAGCTCTGGGAGTCTCCTGATGAGTTCAGACCAGAGAGGTGATGTGATTCATCAGACACTGATGCTTTCTGAGCATTTTGTGCACTGCCACAATTTTTCTCACTTCAATTTTTCTCACACATAACATGTAAATTAAAATGTTTGAGACAAAAATGGCTCAACTTTAGGTGTCTCTAATATTTTTTACAGATTCAGCCCAGAAAGTAAGTCAGAGATGAACCAATACGGTTTCATGCCTTTTGGACTCGGGCCTCGAAATTGCATTGGAATGAGATTCGCCCAAATGATCATGAAACTTCTTGTTTTGAAGCTGCTTCAGAACTTCAGTATGGAAACATGTAAAGAGACACAGGTTGGTACATTTCATCAGTACATAGTACATTAGTTACGTGAAACAGACTATATTTTGTCTCTTAATTAAATGGGAATTTATAAAGGCATATTCTTTATTTTCTTTTATTTTCAGATCCCTCTAGAGCTGAATGCAATTTTTCAGCCGAAGGTTCCCATCACACTGAAGTTTATACCAAGGTCTTGCAAGGCAAAAGAATAATTAAAATGCTGAATATTTCAATATAATTGTGTAGAAGATTTGATACTATGTTATATAGCATTTATAAAATTACTCTTTTTATTATTATTCACCTTTTTCACCATATTTTTGGATTTACAGTGCTGATGGTTTGCTGGGCCTGGGCTGTGTATGTTTAATTATATAACATATAAGCAATGAATGCAATGTAAAGTGTTATTATTGTAGCTGTGCGAGACAGGATCATGTACTTTAATAACAACAGAATTTAAAAAAAAATGTTGTTGGAGAACAGACATCATAACAGACATCTGATTTGAGATCTAATACATGCTGGTCATGAACATGGTATCTAAAAAATGTCTTCACTTTTTGCTTTTGACTATGAGTATAAATGTAAAATATCAGAGTTTGTTTGCATCTGCAGTGAAAGACTTTAAAATGTAAAAATTCAAACAAGAAAGAAATTTAAGCCAGAAAGTAAAACAATTGCAAAACAACATTTGATGAAACAGCCAAATGTAACATACAGTAGATAGATAGATAGATTACAAGTAATTGATAAACTGCATAAATTAATAAACTGTATTTTGAGACCTGACATTAACACCCTTAACCTGAATGCTGTTTAACTTGTCTGTTCAGATATACCTTTATTATATAGTTGGTTCATATATGAAAGCTAGCGTGGTTTTCTTCTGTTTATTTGTTACCCCGTTGTTATTGCAGAAATATGATGATGCAGGTATTTTAGTTTTGAGGGCTGGTTAAAAAAATGAACTAGACATTAGAAATCAGCTTCCAAAACAGCTGCTAGGGAACTCTACTGTGTGACAAACCGACCCCTCATCTGTAATATTATTTGTAAACCGCTTGTAAACCATTGTTCTGGACTTTTAGATATTGTTAGAAAACACTCTGTCTTTTTAAGAAATTGTTCCAGATACGCCTCACCCCTCCTCTATCTGTTATATATGAAAGCTAGCGTGGTTTTCTTCTGTTTATTTGTTACCCCGTTGTTATTGCAGAAATATGATGATGCAGGTATTTTAGTTTTGAGGGCTGGTTAAAAAAATGAACTAGACATTAGAAATCAGCTTCCAAAACAGCTGCTAGGGAACTCTACTGTGTGACAAACCGACCCCTCATCTGTAATATTATTTGTAAACCGCTTGTAAACCATTGTTCTGGACTTTTAGATATTGTTAGAAAACACTCTCTGTCTTTTTAAGAAATTTTTCCAGATACGCCTCACCCCTCCTCTATCTGTTTCTCTCTCTCTCTCTCGTATTATGTTTTAAATATCTCTTACTCATATGCGAGGTATGCATGTGCAAATGTATACATTCGTTTTTCTTGGTTTAAATGCCCAAATAAGGAGATGAATGCTAGGACTAAAAGGGTAAAGAAGTTCGTGAGGAACTCTGAAGAAGAGTGCCTCAGCCTTCGCTAAAAGTCTATTCCTAATATGTCCATGTTCTTCTGTACATGTGGCCATTTTATATAAACACATGTTCTTGGCCAAAGATCCTATATGTGTACGTCATTCATATCCTTATTGGTTAAGAGGGTGAAACTCCCCTCGACATGCCTATATAATATCTTTGTATCTATGAATAAATTGAAGTATTGAGAATACATTTGAATGTGTGTTTTCTTGCTTCCCGGCCGTATTTACACTTTAAGAGACTGAGAAGATTTCAAGGCGGCAAAGAGATATCGAGGGACCAATTGTTATTTTTATTAACAGATATATTCCCTCATTTTAAATTCCTATTAGTAGCAAAACCAGAGATACAAAATACCTACAGAATTTAATACATGTGAGGAAAGATGGTTATTCTGTCTCACTGATGAATGTAACAAAGGGCTGTTATAATGCAACGCCCACAACACTACGTATCAATAAATGTGATAGGCAGGTTTTCAACAGACGTCTGAAACAACCAATAACATACATAAACCTGTAGCACCCTCTGTACATACTTAAAATTCACCGGAGAGAGCTGCATCAGTTGAGAAAGTTTTATACTAAAAAGATTAAATTTAAAAGTTAAATACTAAAGATTTGATTTAACACTCATATCCAATATATGATATTAGTGGTTTCTGTGTATAAATGGAAACCACATTCATTTAATTAATTACTAAAGGTGTATAATATTATTGCAGATGACAAAGTAATGATATGTAAATAATGACTTGCTGTATATTATGTATTTAATAAGAAAACACTTTTTATTTTATAAAAAGTTGTGGGTCCATACAGTTTGGATGTGGTCACCAACTCCTCTTTTAGTGTTGACATTGACTCCATAAACAACGCAGATGATCCTTTTGTTACCAATGTCAAGACGTTTATCCAGTTTAATATGTTCAATCCACTCTTTCTGCTAATATGTATGTTATTGTTTGTATAATAATATTGGAAAATGAACAGAAATAATGAAAAAAGAAACTAATTTTTTTATTTCAGTTTTGTTTCCCTCCATTGTAATTCTTTTGAAGAAAATGGGGTTACTCTTTTTTTCAAAGTCATCTATGGATTTTTTCTACAGTGCCCTGAAAAAGAATAAGGACGAGCACAACAAGGAATCAGATGTATGTTTGTCACTATATCACTTTTCATCTACTGTCACTCACACTGTCATTTAGACCTGGCAATGATTTTGATGCTTCTCTGTGTTTTTAATCAGGGTCGGGTAAATTTTCTCAAGCTCATGCTCCAAAATCAAATACCTGGTGATCATTTTGAGGACACAAGTGAGCAACCAGCAAAAGGTTTGAGAGATAGAATTTACACATTATCGACTCTTTCATTTCAAATGGAACTTGTTGTCAAATATGTGGTTTTGTGAATTTAATAGGACTTACAGATCACGAGATTCTCTCCCAATCCCTTGTTTTCATTCTCGGAGGTTATGAGATGACAAGCACCACACTCACTTACCTCCTCTATAATCTTGCAACTAATCCAGACTGCCTGGAAAAGCTGGTTGAGGAGGTTGACACAAACTTCCCTCCTGATGTGAGAACAACGGCTTCTGCTCTGTTCATAGTTTTTGTGTAAATAAACTATTTTAAGGCAGTTTTAGAGTTTAGGGTTCAGTTGTTTTACTTAAGGAACTGGAAATTGGTTTAAAACAAAGCCATAATATGCATCGGGCATGTCTTTTGGGGGGGGATGTAGACTCCCATCATGCATTGATGAAAATGGATTACTTGGAAATGGCCATCAATGAATCAATGCGTCTCCTTCCCACTGCACCACGCTTAGAGAGGTATTCCTACATATGTATTGTGTCGTGATCCGCAGCTCTGGGAGTCTCCTGATGAGTTCAGACCAGAGAGGTGATGTGATTCATCTATCAGACATGACATCTATCATTTTTTTTCACAACCACAATTTTTCTCACATATTATCATCTTATAGCATGTGATTTATACAGATTTAAGCTGGCTAAACCAAATAATTTTTTCTCATATGGAATTTGCAAGGACTATGAAACCATAAGTGCCTATAAAGTATAAGGAAACGTCCTTATTTGGTTACACAACAATGATTTATTTATATCTCCATTGAAACTTAATTTTATGTCTACAAACGCTGAACTCTGTTTTTAGACCATTTAATTGAAGCAAGAATTGCTAAACTGAATTTGTTTCTAATATATCACTATAGGTTCAGTCCAGAATGTAAGTCAGAGATGAACCAGTACGCTTTCATGCCTTTTGGACTCGGGCCTCGAAATTGCTTTGTAATGAGATTTGCCCAAATGATCATGAAACTTCTTGTTTTGAAGCTGCTTCAGAACTTCAGTATGGAAACATCTAAAGAGACAAGGATTGGTACACTGACAGTCATCAATTAGAATTGATATACATGAGTTATGTGAGACACTGTGCTTTGTGTCTTGAATTAATTAATTATTGTTTATTTTCTCTTTTTTTTTCTCTCAGATCCCTCTAGAGATGAATGCCGCTTTTCAGCCAAAGGTCCCCATCACAGTGAAGTTTATGCCAAGATCTCGCAAGGAAAAACAATAATGCAATGCAAAAGTTACATAATATAATTATGAATAAATAGAACATTTGTAATCATTTTTAATCATGAAGACTGAAACACATTAGAATATTTACACAATTATAATTCTCTTTCAATCGTTTTATGTTCACCTTTTACACTTTATAGAAGTGTGCCATTATGTGATTTATGGTGCTCAAGATCATGATGGACCTTGAGCTCTTCCTGGTTCATTCATTTTGTGTCATGTGTGTAATGCTTATTGAAGTGTAATAAATGTGTTTTAAAAGACACAACGTTGTGCACATTTAATTATACTTAATTTAAAAAAAATTTATTGTAATTTTATTTATGATACTTACAGTATATGTTTTATAAAATCAAAACAAATAATGTATATGTACATTGTAGTGAATGCAGTGTATATTCATGTAGCGGTAAAGCAGACGTGAAGTTCTTTTCTATATAAAAAGATCTATTATATCATCAGAATGATTTTACCACATAAAATGTGCCCATGTGAGAAATACTTTTGGTGAAAAATGGTCATTTTGTTATTCATTGTACCCAGAAAGCCCATAAAACTGAATCCAGTGTCCTGCATTACGGTTGTCAACGAAGACTAAACAGGAAGATATTGTTTGTTTCCATGCCGCTTACAGCCTTAATTGTGCTGCCATGCCTTGGAAAAGCGCCACTATAAAACAGATATTGAGAAAGAAACTGCTTTTTTAGCATTGGCAGTTACCGATTCATATATTTATTATAAAATGTTCCTTTATTCTTGGTACTTTTAACATTTATATTAACACACTATTTTTAAAAAATGAAATGAGCATAAGATTCTCCTCAAGGGGTATTGTTTGTATACCCACTTTATCAAATAAATGAATTCATATATAGGCTATTTAATTATGAGTAGCTAGTTAGATTAGTAAGTAAATGTGTAGTTTGGGACTGTATAATACCTGCTGGTGCATCATTAACAATGGCGGCGCGCATAGACGCAGCGGCTTCACGCTCTCCCGTTCAGTGCTTTTCGTTTGTGGTTTTGTTTGTTTTTCTACTCGTAACTGTTCAAATCAGTCTGGCGAATCACAGTTACAGTCGCTTAGATATCTTAAACATAGGTTTTCGATGTAATCAAGAAGTTACACAATATACCGGAGGAGATAGCCAGGACACCGGGCTCTCCATGGACTGTTATCCCCTCAACGGACATGCACCTTCATTCACAATACAGGAACACAGGTTAAGGAGTGTGCTCAGGGCTATTAACCCAAGAAAGGCCGCAGGCCCAGATGGAGTAATGAGAAGAGTACTCAGAGAATGCGCAGACCAGCTCTCTGCTGTCTTCACACAGCTTTTCAACCTGTCCCTGTCAACAGTCACCATCCCTACCTGTCTGAAGTCAGCAAAGGTTAAGGAGTGTGCTCAGGGCTATTAACCCAAGAAAGGCCGCAGGCCCAGATGGAGTAATGAGAAGAGTACTCAGAGAATGCGCAGACCAGCTCTCTGCTGTCTTCACAAAGCTTTTCAACCCGTCCCTGTCAACAGTCACCATCCCTACCTGTCTGAAGTCAGCATCAATTATCCCACTACCGAAGAAAACCGCCATTAGGGGCCTTAACGACTACCGCCTAGTTGCACTTATCTCAGTTATTATGAAGTGCTTTGAGAGGCTGGTGCAGTACATCAAAGCCCAGACACCTTTGACCCTCATCAATTCGCATACAGATGTAATAGATCTACGGAAGACTTAATCAATACTGCCTTGCACACAGCTTTGCTTCATTTGGAGTGCCAAATGACTATAATGACTATTCATTGACTATATTTCAGCGTTCAATACAGTTATTCCCGATAGGCTGGTAGCCAAATTGCTGGATTTAGGTCTTTCCTCTTCTATCTGCCACTGGATTAAGGACTTTCTGACCAGCCGTCCACAGACAGTTAGGTTAGGCCCCTATTCCTCCTCCACTTTAACACTCTTTTTTAATATATTTTTATTTTTTATTATTTTATTTTTTTGTATTACAGATGTTTAAGTTACATGTGACTGCACTGTTAGGATTGCTCAAATTTCACTATACTTGTATAGTGACAATAAAGAAATCTTGAATCTTAAAGTTGACCTCAGCACTGAATGTGTAACCAGCTGTAATTCCATCCTACATTAAGGCCTCTTTCCTCATTTCATCTTTAAAAATATTCTTGTCTTTCTGTGACATCTGAGAATTTGAATGTGTAACTTGGGGTAAACCAAAATGCTTTTCAGACCTAGTACCTAGAAATCTTTTAAGGTCAAGACTGCACTATTCCCCGTTTCATTTATGGGAAATCCGGCAGCATTTTTTTCCTTAACACTTCCTGCTGACTCAACTCCCAACAGGCTGAATTTTTGATTTTGACCTAGAAATTCTTCATTATTTTTCATTACATCCTTTTCTGAGATTGCAAAACAAACCATTGCCTGATTTTAATCAAAACATAAAAGAAACAAATTAAAATGACAAAGACAGCAAAAGAATATTGTTAAAGAGTTTTGATCAATGAGCTGTTAAAGGAAGAATCCATTTGTAAATGTTTTTAATTGTGTTTTGATACTGTTTTTGAGTTTTCTTCTTCTTCTGATAAAGCAGTGCTGCATCTTGGCCAGGTCACTTCTGTAAAAGAGATTTTTAATCTCAGAACGTTTTTATCTGGTTAAATAAAGGACAATAAATAACTAGAAAAAAGTTTTGGTAAAATAATCCAGAAGGCCAGGCAGGTCAAGTATTCAAAGTCTCTGGAATATTTGATTCTTACAGATCAGTTTATAGCCTGATAATTATATAGATACCCCAGCTGTAGGCTACATTTACCCTTATGCAGCCAGTAAGACATTTTATAAAGTTCATAAAAGGATGTAAAGGATATTATCAAGAGAACAACGTTTAAATGTGCATTAAATGGTCGGAAAATAATTAAACGCAGAAAAGTGTGAAAAGATGAAGAAATATGAGACATGCTGGCCTTGCAAGCACTGCAGTTACACAATGCATGTTTTCCCCCTTGACTGTAGAAAAAAAGACATTACAATTTAAAGTAGGCTGTTTTTTCTACATTATAGATTACAATGAATAACTAATGATCATTCTGAATTGTATCGAAATTGTATTTAAATTCTTCAGCATTTTAATGGCAAACAACAGACAGCTGAACTCGAAGTTTTTTTTTTCTCAGTTTTATTTTAATGGTTAGAGAACAAATGTCGATGCACTAGTGAAGACAGACACCTTGTGTTGGCAATTGAAACTGCTCATAGTTTCAATTTAATTCATTTGAACGCGTCCTTGTGAAACTCCAGCATCCGGGGATTCCATCATCCGGGGCTTGCCTCTGCCTTGTTCTTTCTCTGTTTATAAACAGAAAGAGCGCAAGAATGGTCGCTGCGCCGTGACGTCACGGCTCCAACCACGTCATTTTATTTTGACCTTTCAAAATGTGTTTCATACCGAACAAGAAATAATACCCATTAAAACCCCGCGTGTATTTAGTTACAATGCGAGCAACCACGCGTGCATTCGACATCAAGTGTACTTATTTTTTATTGCCACATGTAACGCACGTGTCGTCCGGTTCCTGGAACTGCAACGACATTAACCTTTAATTTGCCAGAGAGCTTAGAGTAAGGCCTATGAAAATGATCGAGAAAAAAAATAAACACCTGAGACGAACTTTACGAAAAAAATATTCACAATATCGCACTATTCCCCGCCAACTGTTTCAAAATGAGTGAGAGGCAAACGAGGGATAAATCGCACCCGCTCCGGTCCATTAATCCATCTCCGTGTTTTGACTACCACCGCCAAAACAGCAACACAGCGAACCCTACCAACACATAGCCGTTGCGCTTGCGATCCCCTCGGTGTTTTTCAACAAAATGGCTGATTTGGGGGATGATACCGGAGCGAGAGCTCTACTGGCCCTCAAATCTGCGCCTTGTAGCCCGGTGGCTGTTTCTGCCCCGCCCGTGTACACTCTCTCCTCCTCGACTGCGCCCGGGATCACATTATCTCCGTCGCAGGCCCTCGCTCGCCTGGAAGGCAGGGACTTCGAGTTCGCCATGCGCCAGAGGACGATCACCGTGGGGCGGAATTCGTCGCACGGCTCCGTGGATGTCAACATGGGCCACTCGAGCTTCATTTCCAGGAGACATCTGCAAATCACCTTCGAGGAGCCGCATTTCTACCTGCGCTGTCTCGGCAAGAACGG